ATTTAGTATCCAGGCAACATAATTGACATAGAATTATCCTAATGGCCTCTATTTTCAAATCAATAGCGGATCTATTGTGTCACGCAGCTGCGTAGAAAGATAAAAGTTCATAATAGACAACTGCACCTACGTTTCCTTGGTTCTCTATGTATGACCCATCAGTGAAAGACTTGGAGCCATTGATCTCCTAGATATATGGCATTGATTGCTTCAAGGACAATTGAGGGCATTTGGTCAGGTGGGGTGTTTGATTTCTTGAAGAATTCAAGCAGTTGGGTGCAACGCACTACATCAGTGCTGCTAATGGGTTCATGGGGAGAGAGAGGCTTTTTGGTTTGTCATCGATTTGTAATTCTATCTTCAGTTCTATATCGTTCTTTATTAGAACAGATTGCGTTTTCAAATGTCTTGGTCTATTTTCATAGGTGCTGATGAATTTATCCATGGGAATGCGCAGTAGCCTCTCGTACAGGATCAAGGCCTTTTGTTTGGTAAGGGAACATATTGTGGTCCTTCCTGTAACTAGGAGCATTGCATCAATGGGTGCTGATTTTATCCCTCCAGTAATAAGTCGTAATGCTTGGTTATGTGTCTTCTCGTGTGGTTTGGGGTTCCCCTCTGTGGCTGTAATGAGTGGCCCACAGCAATGCAACATTAATGGCAGAATAAACTTCTTGTAAGTGGTGTTGAGAGTTTAGCCTGCACAGCCCCATACATTCAGTCTATTGGAAACTCGTTCTGTTATTTTAGCAATGTGACTTTTCCACGTTAGCTTGGTGTCAAACGTCATTCTGAGATATGTGAACTCATTGGTTTTTTCTATGGTAGTTTCCTTGTACCTTGAAATCGGGTTTATGCTGTGAAGGGCCAGAGAAAATGTTTGGAATGCTGATTTTGCAGTGTTGATTACCATTCTATTGTTGTCGCACCAGTTTGCTAGTAGTTTAAGTGCGAAATACCATAGTATCAGATCATCTGCGTAAAATAAGCACTTGATGCCCGTGACTCTCTGTACCAATTCGGCTATGTCATTGATGAAGACATTGAAAAGAGTGCAGCTTGTAGCAGTTCCCTGTGGAAGACCTGTTTGTGAAAGATTGGATTTTGATAGAGCATTTCCGTATCTGACTTTACACGATCTTTGTCCAATGAATGCTTTTATCCAGTTTAGCATGTTATGCTTAATACCAATCTTTGCCAATTTTAGAATTAGCTTCTCTTTCCATACTAAGTCATATGCTGATTTGAAATCGACGAAAACAGCCGTAAGGGTATTTCTTGCATCAAGGGCATCTTTGATGTGTTGGGAGAAAGTGGCTACTTGTTGGTTCGTTGATCTTTGTGGCCTAAAACCTGCTTGTTCACTCCTAAGACTATTGTTTGTCTCAAGAAACCAGGTCAGCCTCCTGTTAGCTATTCTTTTCATAAGTTTAGTCAGCAAGCTTGTGAGGGAGATAGACTTTTAGTTGTCAAAGTTGCAAGGCTCTTTGCCCGTTTTTAGTACTGGTATTAATATGGCAACTTTCCATTGGCTAGGTACGAGACTGGTCTCCCAGATTTTGTTGTAAAGCGTCAGCATGGTTTGCTTGGGTTGTGGTCCCATTCTAATTAGAAATTCTGGATGAATACCGTCTTCGCCAGGAGAATTCTTGCACTTTGGCTGTTTTATCACAGCATAAAGTTCGCAAGGTCGGAATGGTTCAGTAAGTACATTATTTGGTGTTGCGTCTTCCTTAATTTCAAAAAAACTGTCTTACTTGCATCTGTAAATCTCTTGAAGATTTTCTGACAAAAGTGATCTTTTTTGCTTGTACCTCGCAAAGGCAGTTAGCTATTTCAGAGTCGGTGGTAAGCAGTTTGTTTTTCGTTAGCTATTTCGGTGTCGGTGGTAAGCAATTTGCTGTTTAAATTCGGAGTCGGTGGTAAGCAGTTTGTTTTTTAAACGTATTTGTTATGGGAATAGAACCTCGCAAAGCAGTTAGCTATTTCGTTAGGTAAGCAATTTGCTGTTTAAGCGTATTGGTTCTTTTTTGTGTGTTTTAAAGCGTTGGTTCTCTTCGTGGGTCTTTCTCTGTTGTTTTGGAGGTTACCCAGGAATTGGTGCGTTGGATTGTTTTGGAGGTTTCTCAGAAATTTGAAAGTGCGTTGGTCATCACTTTGATAGTTGATATTTGAGATGAACTTGTCGAAGGAAGTGTTTGATAGTTGATATTCGAGATGAACTTGTCGAAGTAAGTTTCATAGTTGATATTTGAGATGAAGTTGTCGAAGGAAGTCCGTAATAGCTGATATTTGAAATGAACTTGTTGAAGGAAGTCCGGTTTAGTTGATATTTGAGATGAACTTGTCGAAGGACGTCCGTTTTGCTTCTAAGATGGCTTGCCTTAGGACAGCTGATTGTCGTCTCCAGGTTTGTACGCTCCGTTCTTCCAGTCAGATCAGCAGTGTTGCGAAGGGCGTTTGTTCTTCCAGTCTGATCAGCAGTGTTGCGAAGGGCGTCGCGCTTCCAGTCTGATCAGCAGTGTTGCAAAGAGCGTCCCTCCCAGTCTGATCAGCAGTGTTGCGAAGGGCGTCCCTCTTACACTGATCAGCAGTGTTGCGAAGGGCGTCCCGCTTTCTTTTAGCTTCCTCAAGGTATTTAGACCAGAACACTCGATAGTGTTTTGTCTTGCCTCGGGGAATAGTTTTCTTTGCACATCTGATCATAACATTCTTGATTGTAGTGCAAAGTTTGTCAGGATGTTGGTTGAAGTTTAGTGGACTTGTGTGATGTTCATTGTCTAAAAGGTTTGTGAATCCAGACCAGTCAGCCTTCTTGAAGTTCCATGCTAGCCTAGTTGGCGCTTTCCTTGACATGATTTTGCTGCCGATGTTAATACTAGCAATGACTTGTTTGTGACCAAAACCAGGATCGTCAATTATTCTGCTGCGCGTATGCTCGCTGATGCCGCTTGAAGCCAAGAGTAAGTCAGGAGTTGTTCTGGTTCCATTGTAGTGCAAATATTTAGCCGGATCCTCATTGCTGTAAATAATTTGCAGAGGGTTGCAGTTTAGCTTGTCTTCAATTTAATTTTCAGCTATGTTTATATCCTTGTAGCCCCATCTGATGGAATGGGCGTTGAAGTCTCCTAATTCTGTAGTTTTGTGTGAGATGTTCAGAAAGTCAAAGTTGAGAAAATTCTGGGTTGGATTGTTCAGATAGTCAAAGTTGGGACAATTCTGGGGTGGATTACAAGAAAGTCAAAGTTGGGACAATTCTGAGGTGGATTATAGATTAAGTCTCCTAATACTATAGTTTTGTGTAAGATGTTCAGAATTAATACTATGGTTTTGTGTGAGATGTTCAGAAAGTCAAAGTGTCTTGAAGTTTTGTGTGAGATGTTCAGAAAGTCAAAGTTGGGACGGGGAGGATTATAGACTGCATATATCTTGAAGCGGTTTTGATATTTCCAAACATTTAATCTGATTATTTCACATATCTGTGTCGACCCCATACTCTTGATTAGGTCGTAGTGTGAGGGGAGGCTTTCACTTACTCCAGTTAGAATTCCACTTGCAACTTGCCGGTATTTAGTTAAACTAATGGCTGTGCACACGTGAGATTACGTGTTAGGCAATGGGGCGTCACATAAATTTCGCAACATCAATGGCGGTAACTAAGTAAATTAAAACCACATGTTTAGGCAAAGTATATTTTTACTAGATAAACATTTCACGTTGTGACAAATTTGAAATAATTTAAACCGATCGAATTAGCATTCACAATACTAAAAGAGGCAATATATTTTAAACATGATTGAATAAAAGAACAACTATCATTTGCTTTATAGTGTCGGCAAGCAAAATAAAAAAAACTCTGTATTTCCGTCTTTTCAACAAAACAGTCGAATTGGTCTCTACAATCTACTATTGTGCTATTTTAGCATGATCTCAAAGCACGGCAATAGTATAAATTCATTAATTATTGACGAAGTTTTAGTGATTTCAATTTCAAAATCATTAAACTGGTACAGTTAAAATTATTTTATTTGTAAAGTTTCATGCGCTTTGTGAGTTTTAATTGACAATTTGCCATTATAAATAGTATCGTAAATGTGTTCTCTAAGATGCCTTAACTTGGTTCATATATTATATTGTCAATTTACCGTTGTTAATTGTCCTGATAAACTTCCATCAATCAAATGGTCTCCACTATTTTTTCATATATCTACAAGATCACTTGTTGGAATATACTTATACTATGTTATCATTCCAAATAGATCGTTAGTTAGCGCTAACTGGACACTATTTAAGAAGTTAGAGAACAAAGAATCACATTAAAGCTGAATAAGTGTGAAAACGGTAGTGAAAAATTGGTTCCCCACGTGCAAACGATAGATTGTGCGATAAAAATGAATATATATATATATATATATATATATAGACTACGTTCCGGACACGACAGCCGTTGCTGAGTTTAGACTACGTACTGGACAACCGTTGATGAGTTTAGACTACGTACCGAACACGATTGCCTATAAACACCTTCACAGATTGGGAGTATACACTCAACTCACATGTACACCTTCACAGATTGGGAGTATACACTCAACCCACATGGACCTTCACAGATTGGGAGTATACACTCAACCCACATGCCCCCTTCACAGATTGGGAGTATACACTCAACCCATATGCCCTTTCACAGACTGGGAGTATACACTCAACCCACATGCCCTCTGGATTGGGAGTATACACTCAACCCACATACCCTCTATGTACCCTACAAGAGAAAATGGAGAAGACCCACCTGATTCGATGTCTAGCTATAAAGACAACGTCGGAAAGCCAGAGATACTGGGATGAAAAAAGACGGCTAACGAACTGCTATTAATGAACTGCTATAAATGTACCCCCACCCTTGAGGGAAGCTGAAGTCAAAGTTTAAGGGCTAATGATAATGAATTGCTATTAATTAACTGCTATAAATGTACCAGAATTGCTATTAATTAACTGCTATAAATGTACCCCCTCCATGAATTGTATGTACCCCACCCCCTCTTGGGGGAAGCTGAAGTCAAAGTTTAAGGGCTAATGATAGAATGAACTGCTATTAATGAACTGCTATAAATGTACCCCCACCCTTGAGGGAAGCTGAAGTCAAAGTTTAAGGGCTAATGATAAATATCACAAAGCCTGCCATTTGAAATAAATAAATTTTGATGACCTTTAAATGTGGGATGTTTTGATTAAAAAGACATCAACCCTAAATAATTATCAAATAGTGAGAAAATCAAAATCCGGATCTGAATGTAAATTACTCTTATCATTTGGTAGACCTGTTGCTTGCAAATCCATCTAAAAGAAACAAACAAAAAGTAATAGAACATATATATCAATAAAAATCCTTTACGATCTATTTCAAAACCGATCTGCCACTCCAATTTGTGTTAACCTTGAATTTTCATAAACCATTCGAATAGATTATTAATAGCCCAAATAGCTGGGCAAATGGTGGTACAATTATGATTTAAACAAATGTGCATATTTCAGGTGTATCGTGTTGCATTAATTTAAATAAACATTGTAAAACGTAAGAAATTGCACTTTATCAATCGGCTCACCACAACTTAAATCTGCTTTAAAATTTATAACGATCTTTCTCAAGAATAAAACGATGAATCCACTTATCTCAAATGGCGTTTGACACATGACTATCACGAAAACTCCGCATTGCTAAAAAGTAGAACGAGCCTTCAAACGACTGATAGTAAAAAATAATTATGACTACTATGTGGGCTGTGCCTGCTTTACCCCTATCGCAAATTACAAGATGTTTGTTTAGCAGATAAAGTCTCTAAGAAGATACTCCAAACCATTGAGAAGACGCACAACCAGGCTTGTGCCTAATTACTGGAGCGGTTAAATCAACACCAATTGATGCAATCCTCATGGTTACAGGGAGCACAAAAATACGTTTTTTTTCAAAGAAATGGCATTGCCACTCTGTGAGAAACATATGTGCGTTCACAGTGGCATGTTCTGTTGCGTCTAGTAAAATGGACCAAGTCACCTAAAAAACGTAATCAATCCGAATAGTGAAAATGAAAAATAAAACTAAAGAATAGAATAAAATAATATCAGGAAACCTCTCTTTTCTTCAAACACATTTACAAGCATCCAAGTGAAATATGGCATCTGATTTCTTCGCCATTCTAAGAAATCAGAAATTACATTGGATCAATCCCCTGAGACACATAAAAAAATTATCTCACAAATCAATGAGTCCATATGTTCTCTGTCGGGTCACACGTAGATAACTGTGCTCGCTCTGAACCATTTCCTTTCTTTGCAACTACG